CCCTAACTCCCCTTATGCACCCTGTGACCTTCTGCTAATATGGACCCTCTCGCCCCTAGCGTGGAGGACGGCGCGGCGGTGGCGGAGGCGTCTCTCGGTCCGCGGGCCGCTCTGCGTCGTGACGCCCGTGCCCGTGACGGCAGTGGGTGACGCGTGACGCGCCGCGTGGCCGTCACGGCGCTGGCCATGGACGCCGCTCGGGGAGAAGCGCGACTGACGACGGCCGGCGCCGAGCGGGTGGGAGTTCGGTGGGATCGCGAACTGATGAGACCGCATAATGCGGCGAACCAGAGCGCATATGCTGTGTTTGAGGCGCCGGGAATTGGCCGATGTAAGGCTGGTTGTCGAGACCAATGAATTTGGTTGAGACCAATGAATATGGTCGGTGATTTATTAGCTGTCGACGAGTTTCTGAACGTGCCCAGATGTCTCTAGTGCGTGTTTGGAGTTGAGCTGTTACGGAATTGGTCGTGTGAAAGTTGGTATTTTTATACCTCTTTATTGCGTAGATGCTTGTGTGCGATGGACGTCACCTTATCAATCGAAGATCAGGGAATAAAACAGAGTTTGGACAATCAATCCCGTCGTTTATTCACCAATCGTCTCTTACATGTTATCAAACTCTCGACAATATCATTGTTACATCGTCAATCACTACATAAAATAATCTCAAACTGCTATCAGCGCGTGATCAAATAAAACCGGGCGGGTGACTCGGGGGAGCACGGTTACTTGGTAGATATCCGGGCGCCGCGGCCCGTCCGCGACGGCTCCACCGGGCGCGGCGCACGCGCAGCTGAGCGGGCGCCCGGTGCCCTGCTCTATACACGTCACTCGGCGCATCACCGAGCCGAGAAAACCGACTGTCACTACACATAACAACGGACATCGCTCGCAGTAAAACTAGGCACTTCAGCGGCCCGCGGCGGGCGCACTCCAGAGCAGAGACATGTGCACACAGGTATCTGCCACTTATTGCGTCCAGTTGTGACGTATTTAAACACACGCTAGCGACAGGCGGCGCAGGCACCAGCTACACTTTACTGAACTTGAGGCCTGCGAACGAGAGGGGCGGGGAGCGTTAGTCAGTGTATGACGATCTAAGACACCATCTACGTAAAACTGCTTCTGTAAGATGTAAAACCACACTCAGGTAATTCACCGGAAAAAGTCCAGTCATGCAATCTTCTCTGACCCTGATGGTGACATTCGTTAAACGGCACTCATTTACAATTGACTGTCATTGTTTCTGTAGCTTCTTCGTCATAAACGAATCTTCTTATTCTCACCATAAATTTATCCCATCATACAGGACAAGCTTCGCTCACCAAACCACGTCACATTTCACTCCCCTTTACCGTCCCACCTACCCTTCTTCTTCCGTTTCTCCCTCTATCTCCAGTCGCTCCTTCCCTCTCCCCATCCACTCACCCTCGTCATTTGAGTAGCAGTCGTGACAGTGCAGTGTCCCTCCCTCCCTCTCCATCCACTCACCCTCGTCATTTGAGTAGCAGTCGGACAGTGCAGCTTGTTGTTCCGCACCCGCACGTCGGCGCCCATCGAGCCGTTACCCAGCTGCACGTACAGACACAGCACTTGAAGCAGTTGATGTGGTAGAAGAGGCGCAGACTCTCGATAATCATGGCGGGCCCCGACCTGACGGGAAGAGCGGCGGTGTCAGACGGAGAGAGCAGGAGAGAGGGAGCCGTCTGTGACGGGGCGGCGCGAACCGGACAGGGGCGCCTCGGGGGACGTCAGCCGGCGGCTCACATCCGTCAACATACCACCGCAAGGCTAATGTTGGTGTAGCTGATGTACCATCCTTCACGACACGTTAATACTTCATAACAATGTCTCCCCAATCCTCATGCATCTTTCATAATTAACGACTCGATTAAGGGAAATGCAGTTTCATGACACAATGCCCGTGTTTCCAACACTCCCTTTCCAGATAATCAATGCGTCATACCGCTTCCAATGGAGGGCAATTCGCTCAGATTTTCCTACGAAGCACTTTCCTCTCCAGCAATCGCACCGAGCTCAAATATTACTAAACCGACATGGACAAACCCATATCTCCATGAATTACACATATAACCCAAGCATGTATGTTCCAGTGACACCAAGCTAAGCAGTATCTCTCCAATGGCGTCATACCGCTAACAAACTGGGTCCCAGTGCCCCCCAGTGTGTACGTACCGAGCTCCTCGCCGCAGTGGGAGCACTTTTTCCGGCCACTAACGCTGAGCACGCGGTCCTCGGGGCTCTGGGCGGCTCGGCTGCGGTGACCGCATGTCAGGACTGTGGTACACCTGTGTGCCGTAGTTTGGCCTGCAATACAGTACAGCGCACCGGTTACAGCGCTGAATGGGGGTGGTGGCAGTGCAGTGGGTATGAGAGATAATCGTATTGAACCAGAGCTGGTCCGTGATAGACCAATACGACTAGATGCTATAGCCTGCATACAGCGTGAGCATAGAATTCTGCGCTTGTGAGATATTAAATCACCTTTCAGTCATAGCCGCAACAGAGTACGTTCCAGGGAAATGTCATAACTTCACAGCGCTCACTCTAAATATGGTTAGGTTAGGCTAGGTTAGGTTGGAATGTCATGCTAAAACAGTAGCTACATGATTCCACCCAGAACAGCCAGCAGAGAGTCAGAGACAGAGCCGCCCTGTGGGCTCCCCGCCTGAGGTCTGCGGTGAGACCGGCCAGCCCTGTAGGGTCCCCTGAGGTGGGCAGTGAGAACGGCCAGCCCTGTAGGGTCCCCTGAGGTGGGCAGTGAGAGACTGCCCCACCCTGTGAGCTCCCCTGAGGTCGGCAGTTAGACCGGTCCGCCCTGTAGGTAGGGTCCCCTGGGGTCGGCAGTGAGACCGCCCCGCCCTGTAGGGTCCCCTGAGGTGGGCAGTGAGACCGGTCCGCCCTGTAGGGTTCCCTGATGTCGGCAGTAAGACGGCCCGCCCTGTGGGCTCCCCTGAGGTGGGCAGTGAGACCCTGTGAGCTCGCCGGCCTGCGGTCGGCCGCCCGCCGCTCACCGGACCGTGCTGATGTCCTGGTAGTTGTTGCTATTGAGTTGCGCCGGCGTGTTCTCGTAGATGGGCTGCTGGGTGTAGTAGGCGGGGTACTGCTGCGGCACTGGGTGCTGGTGGTGCTGCGCTGGGTGCTGCGCCAGGTGCTGCGCGGGGTGCTGCGCCGGGTGCTGAGCGGGGTGCTGAGCCGGGTGCTGGACTGGCGCCGGCGCCCGCGGTGCCTGGTAGGGCGCCGGTGGATGGTGCTTCTGCCGGGAGGAGCGCTCTTGCTGCTCACTGATCCTCCGCTGCTCAGCCTCCTGGGGAAGATTGAATGAACTTAGCCTCATGGCTCATACAGTATCCAACAACGACCAATACAGGACCAGAACGTGCGGTCAGCTCGCCGATTTCTCGTAAAATCCGACCCCGGCGGCCGGCCTAATTCAATATACCCTGGATCCCGGCCCCCCTCAGCAGCCGCCGGCCGGTTCTCACCTGGATCCCGGCCCTCTCAGCGGCCGCCGGCCGATTCTCACCTGGATCAGCCAGTGCTGGTCGGTGTTGCGCGGCGCGTCGGCCCGTTTGCGCAGCATCCACTCCTGCCGCAGGTTGGAGCGCGGCGCCGCCGACAGCGCGTGCAGCGTGGTGCGGGTCATCTGGCCGGGACCGCCGTCCGTGGGTGAGGGGCTCGGCTGCGGGTGCTGGGACCGCGCGCTGGATGGCCGCGGCGCCCGCACCTCCTGCTCGACTCGCTGCGGCTTGGCCGGCGCCGGGGCCGGGGGGGCGGGGGCCGGCGCCGGGGCGCCATGGGCCGGGTGTCCGCCGGGCCGGGCCGGCCGGCGCGCGGTCGGCGCCGGCGCCGGCTCCGTGTCGTACAGCCGGCCGTGGCTGCGGCTCTGCTGCAGCGGGCCGCCGCCGGCCGGCGCCTGCAGGTCGCCGTGACTGCGGGACGGCACCAGCGCGCTCGGACCGGGCGCCTCGTGCAGCAGGTTGGGGTTGGAGCGCGCCTGGTGCCGACTGGCCAGCAGGTCGGACTGAGCGCCCGGGCCGCCGCCCGGCGGACACTCCTGGGTGCGCTGCCACTGCTGGTCTGAGGCCTGGCGGCGCGCCAGTCGGGACTCTGCGGCAGACGGACAGACGGCACCGTCAGTAGACGGACAGACGGCAGCGTCAGTAGACGGACAGACGGCACCGTCAGTAGACGGACAGACGGCACCGTCAGCAGACGGACAGACGGCACCGTCAGTAGACGGACAGACGGCACCGTCAGCAGACGGACAGACGGCACCGTCAGCAGACGGACAGACGGCACCGTCAGTAGACGGACAGACGGCACCGTCAGCAGACGGACAGACGGCAGCGTCAGTAGACGGACAGACGGCACCGTCAGTAGACGGACAGACGGCACCGTCAGCAGACGGACAGACGGCAGCGTCAGCAGACGGACACGTCCCGCGGCAGACCGTGAGACAGCTCGTGTCCGAGCACAGACAGAGGCCTACTCGTGGATAACGTATCAACAAGGGATTACTAACTGCTCACCCGCATCAGCAGAGAACAATCACCCTCAGTCAAGCGGCCTAGGACTTCACTTTACAACCTTGAATGAGACGATACACACACTTGAGTACGTTACTATCAACGAATTAAATACAGCACGGATGCGATACGATAGCACATATGACTAACACCACCCCTTTAAAGTCACGCTATCAGTGGCACAAGTGCACCTCCAAGTCCGGAGGTGTCATAAGTACCGACTATCGGTCACACCTGACCATGGCGAGGTCACCCGCCCAATCCCATCCCAACCCGCCCTGCCCTGCCCTATCTGCCATTTCGCGGTATCACATCTACTAGTCACTTCCAACCCCATCCCACCCACCCCCGCCCTGCCCCGCCATATCGACTCACTCGCGGTATCTCCTCTGCCCGCCAGTGGTTAGCCCTCAGTCCCCCCGCCCGCAGACTATTAGCGTTACCCACTCACGGTATCTCATCTTGGCTGTGCCTCCAGTTCTCCTCCTTCTCCAGGCTCTCCATTATCTCGCGCTCCTGACGGTCCACCTCCTCCTCGGAGAGGCGCTCCTTGCGGCGGCGCCACTCGCGCTCCTGGTCGGACAGCGACTCCTGCGCCCACCGCTCCTGAGCCGGAGCAGGAGCCGGAGCGCTCCGCCGCCGCCACTCCTGCTCCCGCTCCTCCTGGGCGCGCCGCTCCTGCTGCAGCCGCTCCTGCTCCTTCTGCAGACGCTCCTGCTCCTGCTGCCGCTCCTGTTCCTGTTTCTGCCGCTGCTGCTCGGCCAGTCGCTCATGCTCCTGCTGCTGCCGCTGTCGCTCCTGCTCCTGGAGCCGCTCCTGCTCCTGCTGCAGCTCCAGGGCGCGGCGCTCCTGCGCGCGCTGCTCCTTCTCCTGCTGAGCGCGGCGGCGGAACTCCTCTGCACGGGTCTCAGCCTCCTCCTCGGCCTGGCGCAGCGACTCCTGGCGCGCCTGCTCGCGCCGGCGCGCCGTCTCCTGCGCCTGCCGGCGGCGCTCCTGCTCCTGCTGGGCGGCGCGCTCCTGGCGCAGCAGCGACTCCATGTCGGGCGGCCGGGCCACCGTCGGCACCGGCTCTGTGGGCGAGGGGAGTGGGTGTCAGATGGAATCAGGTGATCCAAGATGGGGACGGCTTGTCAGAACCGAAGAGGACAAAGCTCGCAGAAGGGCAAAAATGGATTGAAACGGGAAGATAATATTTATTTGCGCAAAGACCACATAAATAAACTAAAATTGCAGTGCTTTCACCACACGATTGGGCATAATAATAAAGGTCTAAATAATGAGGTAATACTTCCTTGGAGGATTGCTTATTAAATCACAATGCAGCCATTGGCGGAGCTAATTATATACAATTACTGCATCCGAATGGCGAGAAGTGGCTGACGTCACTGATTGAGTGGTCACTTGCTAGGTAGTCGGAGAACAAGATTGAATGTAATACCTCTCGGCGATTAACATAAACGAGAGGCACCTGTCCTGCACGGTCGGTGAATCGGCGGCTGTTGGCAGATCCACTGGCCAATGAACTCGAACGCTGTGTGGTTTGTTGGTCGCCACGAGGCAGTTTAACCCTCGCCCGTATTGGTGTTTTTCCAGCCGCGAACGTATAAGGGGGGGGGGGGTCCGTTGGACCCCCCCCTTGCCGTTTCGCCCCTGATCGAGCTAGAGCTTCGCGGAAAAAACGAGCGTGTTGCCCGTGACGAGAGGAAGCCGATGATACCTAATTTTAAGGTCCTAGGTCATTGGTTGACCTTGCAGGTCAGGTCAATGATCCAAAAGTCGGAAAATCGGGACCTGTTAGAACGTCGTAAAGTGTGGCTGCTATGGGGTTTTTTCGGGGCGCTGATCATGAATATCATGTTAGTTTTGATCACAGATGATGTCTTTATGCATTTAGTCCAGGTCGGGTCAGGTCAGGTCAGGTCAACCAGTAGTGGTCCTGCCGGGTATTTGTAGTAGGTGTCAACCGCCTCTGACAGCCTCGTAACATGCTACGAAGGCACCAAGACTACTTCGTAAATGTTCATATGGTTGCTAAATTCGAATTCAGCTCCAAAAACTGGCCAAGAAACATGTGAAACTCGAAAAAGTGAACCGAGGTCACCAAAGGTCAATGACCTGACCTGACCTTCAGGTGACCTTGACATCCACCCTAATGCATGGGGGCAACATCATATCACATGTAAGAACGCTTGAAACCACGAAAAGACTGCAAACGCGCGGCTAATGCGAGCCGACATACGCCGAATCGCGATTCCGGCCAAACATGGTCTCGAAAAGTAGGTCACAGGTCAAAGGTCATTGGGGTCAGGGTCATTAAATTTTCAGGGTAGGTGTAAAATTGATTAACGCGAGGGTACTGAAAGTTTCGTCGCGATCGGCCGCTTTTTACGCGAGTTATTCGCGAAACACCATGGGGGGGGGGTCCGTTCGACCCCCTCCCCTATACGGGCGAGGGTTAAAACAGGGTACCAAGCGAGCGACTGGCTTGGCATAGGCTCGACGTGAGCTACTGATATTGTAAGCCCACCTCCTACAGCTAACACTGGTACAGAGGGTGGAAAAACCAGCGCTGCGCAGCTGCTACCTACAACCAGTGGCGTGTAACCGATTCAATCCGACCACTGGTGGATGCATCCACAGCACTCACTGGTGTGTACCAATGACATCACGCCAGCGCGGCGGCGTACTACGGGTTAAAGCCCGATAGCGTGTGTAGGGAACGCCTGTGGCCCGACCAAGCCCCTGTCTACAGCTGCGCCGTGTAACACGGGGTCGCGCGCTGCTACCCACCTTGTTCGGCGCTGCCCTGGATGCCAAGGAAGTCGGAGCGGCGGCGGTACAGGTCCTTCTTCACGGAGCTCGTCGACTTGACCGGTCGAATCTCCTGAAACAGAACCGGGCTGAGTGAGAAAAGGGTCCAACAAACATCACATACACATCGTACGCGCGATGGCGACCCGTACCACTGCTCACCGATCTGTAGTTACAACTCAGTTCAGCTACCGACATCGTGTAGCTCCCGATCACTGGCCAACAAACCCCGCTCCACAGCGCACCAGTCACGCCGGGCACACACTCAGCCAGCCTCGCCCGGCGGCGGACCGGTCGGACCCGAGGAGGGGACGGGGTGCCTGCTGACCGGGACATGAAGCCGCACAGTGGCTGCCAGTCCGCTGACAGCAGTCATGTAATCTGGTTACTGACAAGGCCGCCGCTGACATGGCGTGTGTCGATCGAGCCGTGGTATGTCGACGGCCGTCCATCCGTCCATCAGTTTCCCTCTTTGTGACCGCTAATGTCACTATCAAACACAATGACAGCTCTTCGTGAGAAAACGCAGACCGATAGCGTGCCAGTTAGGCTAAAAAGACTGAAGCGTCAAGGAACGTCAGGCATTTGACCGCAGAATTCCATCCCGTGTCGATGTTGAACAGTTTCCGCACGGCAAAAACAAAGAGCTGCTATGGACAGCTTCATATGGCCCCCGAGTCCGGGTCATCACTTTAACCGCACTATGATGGGTAACAATGCCAGGGAGGAGCCTTTCCTCGCGCAGGACAATGGGCACTCAGCCCCCGGCCGCACCTGCGTATGTCGCGCGGAGCAGGCACGGTATGACACGGTAAAGCTGCGGTACAGCGGGAGTGCCGACCGAAGGGTCACTGCACCGCAGTCGGGACGTGCCCTCTCACCGTACACTATAACGGAACCACACACACCACAAACGTTAGTTCGGGGTTCCGAGGAAATACTGCCCGTCGGCGCGCCGAGTGACCGACCTACGCACGGTAAGAGAGTGGAGTGGGCCTACGCAGCTCACGGGAAGTAGTCCCCTGCCCAAAAAACAAGTGGCGAATGACAGCTCTTGTATAACCCGTGGTCAGTCACACCGTCTCGCCACATTTCTAACGGATCGCCAGCCTCCGCGGTACATCGACTCTCAGTGGGAGCCGATGTAGCGTGAAGCTGGTCTACGCTGACCGCTGCAACTCCCCTCCCTGGGGACATGTCGCCACTGCACTGTCTGCCACCTCCTCACCCTCCGCCGCCCCCAGCCGGGCGCGCACGTAAACCGTCCCTCCCAGCTGAGCGCCCGTCCCTCTCACACTGCCACCCAGCCGAGCGCACACGTAAACCGCCCCTCCCCAGCTGAGCGCACATCCTTCCCCACCACCTCCAGTCGAGCACACACGTAAACCGCCCCTCCCCAGCTGAGCGCTGTCCCTCCCCCACTGCCACCCAGCCGAGCACACACGTTAACCACCCTCCGTTGCTCGCCGGGTCGCCCTGACTCCCTAGCCAAGCGGTCCGCTGTGTACGCTGTATGTACCAGCGCACCGCGAACGTACCACGGGCTTCCTCTCACAGCCCCCAGCCGAGCGCTCAGGTACCCCTGCTCCATTTCCAGCCTCGCGCTGACGTACCACGGGCTCGTCGTCGTCCTCTGGTGGCGGCGGCGGAGGCTTCTCACTGGGCGGGGCCGCCGCGGACGGCTGCAGCGGAAAGTCGAGCACCACCGGCACATCAGCGACCATCTGTCAACAGAGGGATACTCGTTAGTCATCGCTCGGCGACGGATGAAGGGAGGCGAGGCTGGGCGCACTTACCGGTGATATACGCGCCCTGTGCCCGCCATTAAACGAGCCAGATTTACGGGAGAATTATGGGGTGCCACACAGAAAGCTTCATACCTACTAATTTATCAACGGTTGTCGTAAATAACCAGCAAGGACGTGAATGTACACAGTTCGCATGATTCATGTACATCTACTAGCTTTGATTTAGGTGACACGTGCGCAGTCAACCGGGGTTAACTACTGCCAAAAATACGATCTATGCTACGCCTTGCAGCACCTCAGCATTCACGCAAAGTGACTAATTAATGCGTTCGCTGCTCACGCATAAAGATCAAGCTGTTCATCTAGCTGAAAGAGCCGACAGCTTGCGACGAATCGGTGATTGAGTCACTGCAGTTGCCACACTTGCTAACTCAAGACTCAAGAGAGATTTTCTTCACTGAATTAACTGCTAACAGACTGTCCCCCCCCCGACTCCCACCTGGGGGTGACGTCATTACTGACACCCACCCCCGCTTAACCAGGACCACTCTGGACCCGTTAGCTCACCCGGGGGATCGCTCTGGACCTGCTAGCTCACCTGGGACCGCTCGCTCTCCTCCAGTTGACGGAGGATCTGGGCCTCCATCTCGTCCACGGCTGTCGCCGGATCCTCCCACGACGGAACCGCCGACTCCTGCTCCTTCGCCGGAGGGGCCTCCTGGGCCGGCTCCTCCTCAGCCGCCGGGCCCGGAGCCGGAGCCGGGGCCGGAGCCGGAGCTGGCTCAGACATGGCGCTGCGTGTGGCCGGAGCCGGAGCCGCCACCGGAGCGGGCGCCGCCGCGGGAGCCGAGTAGGGCGCCGGAGCGGAGCCCACGGCGGCCACGGGCGCCCAGCCGGCCGGTTTGCTCGCACTGGTCTCGGGGCCGGCGGCGGGCGCAGCCTGCAGGAGGCACGGGTCACGTGAGAGGCGGAGCGCCGCCGGCCGCCGGCGTAAATAAACAGCCCCACCTGCACGGCAACTCCCCCCCCCCCCCCCGGCTGATGACGAGCCGAGCGCCGCTGCTGATAAATGACCAACAGACGGCATCGGCGAGTGAACCACCAGCCGGTAACTCTGCACTCAATCAATTACCGTAAACAGAACGGACATCACAAACGTACAAACGCAAGGCAAGGCTTCATATTCAATACTGCAATAAAAATGGACCTGTCTGCTTCATTTGATGAAGTCACATTCCAGGTGTAGGTAACACATTAAACCAATAATGAACGTTACGCGGAATCGCAATCCTGCAACACCATTTCAGCGTCACGACATTCGCCATATGATCACGCCTGTTGATATCGTTCAGGGTTAGTAAGTACATGCGTGATTAGTAGGAGCGTTGGATTAGTGTTAATCATTCAGGGGATTAGTGCATGCCACCAGCTACGCTACTGCGCGCCATCCTAAGCCCCAGCCCACGATCGCCATTCACTTTGGCAGGGAACAGCGATTCGTTAGTCGAAGGCCATGTCCCTAATCCCAATTAGCGCGTGCAAGCTGTACTCGTATCTGTTCAGCCAGCAGCCTCCGGCCGGGCGGGCGGCTCATCTGACACCAGTTAGTGCACTGCAGCGCTCTGCCCATCGGCGCTAGTTAGACCGCCAATAAACAGAGACGACCGACCGGGCCGTTATCTGTCGCCGGCGGAGGGCATACCTCGGACGGAGTGACGTCATCGTGACGTCACATAGCGCTGCGGCGGGGCGGGGCCGGAGGGACCAGCCAGTGAGCCGGTACGCGGGGTCTCGCGGGGGTGAACCATGTCACTCACTGCTGTCGTGGACGACTTACGGTCCCGAGTAGGTGAGGTGCCCTCGACTGTACCGGCACGTGATCGACCCCACCCGGCAGACAGGAGACCCGAGCACCCAGCCGCGCCGCTGTCCTACTGACTGCCTGACGGTACTATCACTGCCTCTGCACAGATGCTATCACACCCCGCGCAGGCTGCAACCGTCCTATCATAATCGTGTCTACCAGAACCGTCTTTATCGGAGTTCTGTCAAAGCTGCCATCCCGACAGCATCCTTATCCGCGGCGCGAGGCGTGTTGGACGCTGTTTTCGGCGGCGCATCGGCTGCAGCACGACTCTCAGATAAAACATCGCCAGAAATCCTACCGATACCACTCCCCCCGCGGCCCGCGCGTGACGGGATTGAGCACGATCTCACACCGACCGGGGGAGGGGAAGTGGGGTGGGGTGTCAGGGCGCTAATAAGACAACCTAATTAGCCACAAATGGGCTACCCGTGCGGCACGCCCGTGAAGATTACGCGGCACGCAATGTCTCCATCGGCATCCGAAAAGCGGGGTTTGGATGTCACAAAATGACCGGGAGGCAGATAAAAATAGAAAAATAACATAAACGCCGCTTTGATTGTGTGATAACAGTGCTGTGGGGTTGCAAAACGAGACGATGATTATGAAATTATTGAGGATTGCAATAATGCATTGGCTGAAGGTTGCTAAAAATGAGCATCTCTTTTGCACTTTTCATATCTGATTGGCTGAAGACCACACTCTACAGCAATTATGTAATTACATCCGACCTGCGCACGGTGTTGAGTGTGGAACTCGCGGCCCTCCACCCACCTGGTCGAACAGCCGGTACATGTTGGCTGTGTGGACGGGCCGACGGACGGTGGCTGGGCGCTCCATCATCCTCCACCTCGGCGGCCGCCGGGCGGCTCTCTCGGTTAGTACGGGCGGCATGCTGTGAGTGAGCGGGGGGGGGGGCGGGGGGGGGGCGGCCGGCACGCTGCTCCTCACCAAAGGCACGGGCGCCGCGCGCGCCGGCTCGGCCGCCGGGCTCGCACTGTGCCCGTTGGTCAGCGGCGCGGGGTCGGCTCCCAGGATTCTCCGGCTCGGGTCGGCTCGGGCTCCGGACTGGCGGCCGGGGCCGGCTCCGGCTCGGCGGGCCGCTCCACGGCGGCGGCCGGCGGCACACGGCCGACACCACCTTGGGCGGCTGTCGGCGGCCGTCTCCAGGGAGGGGTCTCCGTCTCGGCGCCCTCCGGCCGCCGGTCAGCGTCCAGAGAGCGGCGCGCGTCCAGCGAGGCGTGTCGCCAGTGGCCGCCCTCCGGCTCGCTGGGCCGCTCCAGCGAGCTGCGCGGCCGCTCGGCCGGCTCGGCAGCCTGCTCTGAGGCCATCCGCTCGAACCGCGAGCGCAGGTCCGAGGCGCTCTTCTGACGCGGGATCTCGACCGGGCCGCGCCGGTCGGCCGTGGCCTCGCGACTGTTCTCCAGTGTTGAACATGGCCAGCTTCTGTCGGAACTGGTCGCCCTTGCCGCCCTGCGGCCGCCAGCGCGCCTCGTCGCCGCCGGCGCCGCTCACTGTCTCCAGAGAGGCGATCCGGTGGCGCAGGCCGTCACTCAGATCCATCGACTTGCGCTGCTGGCGGCGCTGCGCGAGCGGCGAGCGCTCCTCGCTGCCGCTGCGCTGCTCGAACATCGAGCGACGCTTCAGCACGTCCACCTTGGCCTTCTTCTCTCGCAGCACCACCGACGGGCGTCCCGTCTTCACGGGCGCAGCAGCCGGCGCGGCCGGTGTGTACGAGGCCGGGCGCACCTCGGACTTCTCCATGGGTGAAGCGGCGCGCGGACTGGGCTCGCGGCGCCGAGACGAGTCGACGGGCGACAGGGACGGCGAGGGCGTCTCGGGCGGCGGCAGGCGGGCCGTGGCCGCCGTCTTCTCGGCGAACTTCATGTAGCCCTGGATGGCCGACTCGTAGGTGAACTCTTCAGTGCCGCTGTCGTGGCCGTTCGGTTCGCCCGAGGTGGGCGAAGCAGCGCACTTGTCCGGCTCCTGTGGTGGCCAGACCGGACGGGGTCGGTTAGTCGGGGCGGGACGCGGCGCCGTCCCAGGGCGCGGTCACACAGGCACGAGACTACGCAAAATGGCAGCAAAACACACCGACCAAAACTCCACAAAAAGGGCTCAAAGTGGCTACACAAAAAGTTGCTACGATATACTCTAGTCCTGTTGAAGTTTTAGAGGGTTAGTGAAAAACATTAGTAACGCCACCATGAGAACAGAACATCATGAAGACCAACAATCCGACGTGGCTCTTAGCCGCTCGGTCACACACATACAGACATTCATGGTGACTGGAGGAATTCACACCACGACAGCCCAACACAGCTCCCACCCGTTCGGCGTTCGCACACTCAAAACGATCTCGTCACTCCACTTAAACTCCATCCACTCAACTCAGTCACACTCACTCACTCCTCTCAGTTCCGCCACACTGCTGAGGCCCTCGAATGCCAGACACGTTCTGCGAGCCTCTAGGGTGGCGCTGGGGCCAGTCCCGGCCCCGTGGCGAACAAAAACCCGACCCGACCGCGCCCTCCCCACCTGTCGCCGGCGCCCGCTCGTGCTCGGTGTTCTGCCCGTGTTCTGTGTGTTCTGACTGACAGCTGAGGGGACTGTCAGCCGGCGGCGGCCCGGCAGCACCTCCCAGCACCCCAGTGATTGGCTGACCTCTAACCGAGGCGTGCCCGCGCGTGAAGATCAGGTGCTGCGGTGGGTTCCGAGGGATACAGAGAGCCAATCGTACACAGCCCAGAGAGTTCTGTTTATGAGGTGAAGGGAGGAAAATATAGTGAGGACACGATAGACGTAACGTAATGCAGCTGAGTAGAATTTTCGAAAACAGACATGCATGTAAGTTCCTTTACGCATGATGAGCGTATAAAGCTCAGAATTTCCCTGGCGATGTGTCCAGCATGGGTCTAATTCCGCGGCGAGCGTGGCCACCTGGTACCGCCTGCCGTCGGCAGCAGAGGGCCGGCCACTTCACCGCCGGAACACACCGCGTGTCACGATCGGCCGGCAAAGTAAAAACGGGCGGCTTAGCGCCGGCTTACAAACCAGTGGGGCTCCTCGGCACGCTTCTGCCGATCGACCGGCGTGTTCTACAGCGTCCGACAGCAGTTCGGAGGACAAATGTCGCCTCGGAATGGTAATCCCCACGTAACCAGCACGCTTCGAGGTGGCGTATGGCGCGAAATGGAGAAAAAAGAGCCCAAATGACGGAGGGGATAAACGTCGAGGATGACCACTTCTGTGAAACGGTGCTCAATCGGCCCAGTAAAAATGTCACCAAACGTAGTTTAGCTAAAGGAAATAACGTAACAAATTGCCCGACCCAGAACTTCCGCAAATTCAAGAGACTCACAAAGGACTATGTTGGTACAGGCACTATTCAGAAG